CCCCCCCCTCCCTCCCTTGCGCGCACCCACCCACCCAGCCCCCACCTGTGCCGTCCATGGTGAGTCTTGGTACGATGTTCTTGGCCATGGCGCACTCGACCTCAATGATGAGGCTCTCGAGTTTGGTGGTGATGGGGATGTCCCTGCCCCTTTCGTGGCCCTTGCGGAGCAGGCTGCCACCCACACTATCGCCGCTCTTGCCCCCATGCAAGTGACGCTCGGGCGACAGGGACGAGCTGTTGTGGTCTGCATGCCGTCGACGGGGCTGCCGCTCCACGGCCGTGCTACGAACACCGTACTTGACGCCTTCGTGATCCAAGTCGCCCTTGAACGACCAGAGGAACCGAGGCACCGACCAACGACCCTTGCCGCGACGATTCTGAGTCGAAGGAGTCGGGCGCACACAGCAGAGACAGGCAGACAGAGCATTGTCGTTGGGCAATCCATCTGGCCGGGGTGCGGACGGCCATGGGGGTGTTTCTATTGATGCCTGACTGACATACCTGGTTGTCTCTGACGCCCAGGTCAAAATCGTTGACCAGTCTGGCGTATGGCACCTCGACGCCGCGATAGAGAAGTCGAATGTCGCTGGCCTTGAGGCCTGTCGTGGCGCTCAGCCGCCGCCTTGGCTGGGTCGCATCCGCGTGGCCAGCGTCGCCACGGGACGAGACCGTCGTCCGTCTTGCCGTGCTGGGGTTGGTCTGGTCCTGCCTCGACTGACTAGACACATCACGCCCATCGTCACGAAGAGTCACCTCATCCTCCTTGAGGAGACTGTCAAGGAGCTTCTGACGGACAGTCTGAAGGAGATAGCAACGGCAAGACCGGAAGCAACCATGTGTGTGTGTGTGACCATCCATCCGGTTGTCACGCTGGCTGCGGCCACTGAGTGCATCCACCATTGCGAGCCGCCCCCTTCCTGCCTGGCCGGCTGCCTGGCTGCCGTGGGTGTCCTTTGCTTGTTTGGTTGCCGGGAGTGGTTTGCGTACCATGAAGTCGTACCACGGGAAGACACTGAGTCTGATCTTCGGATGGTGGTCGCGGATGTGAACGAACTCGCACGTGAAGGGAGCATAGTCGCTCGGCTCCAACTCGACAAGGGCGTTGTGTGTCTGCGGATGGCATACACAACAAGTGCATGGCATGGCATGCCCATCTGTCTCTTCTGCCTTCCCGTCTGTCTGCCTGTATGTGTATGCATGTGTGTGCGCTTGCTTGCGTGGACACGCACGCACAATCATCCGCACCGAGA